AGAGAGAAGAGGCTGGGAGGGGAAGGGAAAGGAGGGGAGGGGAGGGGAGGTGTCAGACACATCAGCCGCAGTCCCAGGAGATGGGCAAGCTCAGGCATGCACTTGTGCCAGTGAAGGAGGGGGGCGGAGGGGGGCACCTGAATGAGCTGCTGGGCCCCTGTTCTCAGAGGACCTGGAAAATGGCCTTTCGGACCCTGAGCAGAATCAAAGCCTGTTTCCAAATGAAGGGACCTTCCCAGCTTTCAGGTCAAGGTGAAAATTACACCCTGCCCTCCTCCATGGGAGCCAGTGCTCCTCCAGCCCGCCGGGTTCCCCAGAGCTTCCCGGGAGGAGCAGGCCCCACGAGGCAGGTGAGTGCTGCCCCAGCCTGTGCGCCCCGACTCGATTCCACCTGTCCCGTGAGGGATCAGTTTCCCCACCTCACCTGCGCCCTCGGTGGCCTTCTCGGTGCGGTGGGCCAAGCCCTCAGCTGCCAACTTCCCCAAGCCTCCCAGCATGGCGCCACTGCAGTCAGGGACAGGTAGGACTCCGGGCCCTGCCGGCTGCAGCTTTTATAGGTGCTTCTGATGTGGGTCCTAGGCCCCGCCAAGCCCTTCTGGGGCCAGGAGGCGGCAGTGAGTCAGGCAGGGGAGGAGGAGCCTGGGTGCGCCCCAGTGCTGGGCCTGCCCTCTCCACGGGGACCCCCACCCTCTGCCAGGAAGCCCGAGGCAGGACAGGTCAGCTCAGGTCGGGCTCCATCCCAGAAGCAGAGCTGAGTGCACTGGAGGGTGACAGCCTTTGGGGACATCTGGGGACAGTGGTCCTGCCAGCCCCAGGAGTGCAGGCTCCCCACACCAGGCACAGGAGGGACCTGGTGACAAGGCCCAGGGCCTGCCACCTGCTGGTCACCTGGAGTTCCATGGGGACCTGGGCAGCCACCAAGGCTGGCACACATGGTGTAGGCACTATCTGTCCCTTCCCGAGGACCTCTGAGACTCTGAGGTTAGCATTCCCTGTAGGTCCTGGCGGAACAGACTGGGGGGCCCCCCACCCTGCCACTTGAGGCAGCTGCACTGGCCAGAGTCCCCAGAGACTTCCCCGGTCCCTGCACATCACGTGCAAAGGCCAGGCTGCCTCTTGTCTCACTCAGGACAGCAGGGACGCCCAGCTACAGGCCACATCCTGCCTCCCTTAGTCACCAACCCAACTGCAGCCTCAGTTCCTCATCTGTAAAATGGGGACAACCATGCCTGCCCGGCTGTCAGAGTGGCCGTGGAAGGAGCCCCACCAGCACGTGCGCCCAGGGCAGGCGGGGTCCTGGACTCTGGAATTGAGGGCTGTGAGACCCAGCTAGCCAGGAGTCAGGAGCACCGGTCCTCCATGGTCCTGTGCTCGGGGTCCAGTTGAGGTGGAGGTCTGAGCCACTGTCCCCAGGCAGTTGGCCTCCTGCCTCCACCAGAGCAGCCCTCATGGGTGTGGCAGGGCCTAATTGATGTTTACCTGACAGAGTGAGCCCCAGGCCGTGGCCAGCCACCCCTTCCGGGTTGGTCAGAGGTGCTGTGGGCAGTAGCAGCTCTGGGTCACAGCCCAGCATGGGTCACGCATGCCCACGGGCAGAGGTGGACAGAGGCCTCACCTGCTCGAAGGAATACACGACTCCTGCACATGTCACAGACATGTGTGACCGTGACCATGTGGGTGAGGCAAGGGCCTGGCAGCGTCCCCAGAGCCCCCAGGCCCTCTTCGAGCACAGCCGACAATGCCCTCTCTGGAGCTCACTGGCCTGACGGCCCCACCACAAGACTCTGGGAACAGCTGTTCTGTCCCGGCCCTGTGACCATTGCTGCCCTCCGCCTGTGAGACCCTGCCCCGCTTTAGCACAGCCTCTCCAGCAAGCCCCGTGAGCCAGGGAGCACACACTCAGCCCCGGACTAGATACAGGTCCCAGATGCCTGGCGGGGACACGGCCAGGGGCCAGGAGTGCTATGCAGCCCAGGACTGGGCTTGGGCTTCCAGCTCTGTGCTCCAGCGCAGCCCAGGACCCCATGGTCCCCAGCCCCAGCTGAGACCACCTCCCTGTCCTCCAGCCTCACCTGCATCCCCTGGCAGGCCCTTTGTGCCCCACTTCTGGGGACCTTTGCTGCTGGACCTCCTCCAGCCAGAGCCTCCTGTCCATGGGTAGACTCTGGTCCTGGGGCTGGTCTCGGGCCACGCCCACAGAGAGCAGCTTTACCTGCGCAGACCAGGCCCGGTGTGACTCAGGGGCCGCCTTCCTCCACCCTACCCTGGGGATGCTTCACAGAGCACCCTGGAACACAGGCACCGAGGCGCAGCTCAAGTCGGAAGGTCGGGTCCAGCTGCCCTGAGCAGGTGGGCACTGGCTGTGCAGGTGCTGGCTGCTTCTCCATGGGGAGTTTGCCCATTTACCCAGCTGGGCACAGGACCAAGCAGCTTGAATCGCTGAGTCCAGAGAGCCAGCTTTTTAAATAGCAATTTGCCAACTTAGCAATTACTAATTTCTTTTAAAAATGTTTATTCAGGTAGGGAACTACCCAGAGCTGTCTAGTGGCTGAAGCCTGACAACTTCTTGCGTAGCTTGAGCTGTCACTGTCACACACATAAGTTTTGTGATGGCCCAGGGCTGGGTGTGTGGCTAGCATAGAGCCCCTTCCTGGGATGTGCATGGCCCTGAGTTCCATCTCTGTACTACAGAACAAAGAGGGGATGGGATTTGGGGCTGGGGATGTGGCTCGGTAGTAGAGGGCTTGCCTAGCATGCACAAAGTTACCATCACCACAAAATTATTTTAAAGTTTTGTGTAGTCCCCCCTGCCTATGCTTCCTCCTACTTCTGCTTCAGGAATTTGAGCTCTGTATTTTTGTTTCATTTTGGTTTCAGTTTTGATATTTTGAGACTGGCTCCCACCGTGTGGCCCAGGCTGGCCTCAGACTTGTGGCGATCCTCTTGCCTCAGCTCCCAAGTGCTGGGATTATGGGCATCACGTCGGGCTTAAGCTTGAGCTATGTGCTGTGCCCTTAGATCCTGGAGGTATGTGCTGTGCCCTTAGATCCTGGACACACTGACCCCTTCTGGCCACAGAGCTGCCCTGGTCCAGCTTCCAGGAGACAAGGCTTGTGTGTCACCACAGGCAGATGTGCCCAGCGTGTGGACTTTCATGTATCTGAGAGTGACTGGCAGGCTCCAGGTGGCAATTAGAGGCCACATTCTGAGTACCTGAGGAAAGGACCGTCCACGGGGTGTGGGGAGCAGCAGTAGTGATAGATATCACCCCTGGGTCAGCAGGGGCAGGAGGGGCATCCAGTCTTCAGCGAACACGGGCCCATGTCCAAGAGGAAAAGAGAAAGCTCATCCCTAGCCACCATCACACTCCACTTCGGAAACCTAGCAGCCAGCAGCCGAGGTGGCCCAAAGGTGCCTGAGGCCCGCAGAATCAGAGTAAAGATGGGGTGGGGTGGCAGGGAGTTCTCCATGGTGGTCAACAGACTCCCCAGGAGGAGAGGACTCTCCGAGTGAGAGCTGCAGGGACAGGAGTAGGGCTGGGGAAATGAACAGTGTGGGGTGGGGGCCTCGGAAGGGCCAGTGACAGACAGCACCTGCTACCCCCCCGTGGGGGGGTTCAAGGCACACCCAAAAAAAGCTGGCAGAGAATCCCCTAGAGCCGATGGGTTCTGAGGACCCCCTACACCTGTGAGAAGAAAGGGCACCCCGCACATCCAAGACTTTGCAGGGGACCCTGGGGCCCAGACGGCCTGGCTCCGTGGTGGCGTAGCCGTCAACACCTCAGGTTCCCGTGTGTCCTCCACATGACCCTAGGAGCTCACACTGCTATGACCCAATGGCCGCAGCAGAGAAAGTGACACCAGTCCATCCAGGTAGGTTACATCTACATTTATTCTGCTAAACAACGGAATTCAAGCCAGTTAGTCAAATAATGAGTTTAAATAAACTTAAGTAATTTAAGTTAAAATGAGCATATTAGCTAAAGTTCTTACCAGGGGAGTTCATACATTTTTGTCTTTTTCTTGTGTTTTTGTGACAGGATCTCGCTATGCAGTTCAGGCTGGCCTTGAGCTCACTGTGTAGCCCAGATGGCCTTGAACTCACAACTATCCTCCTGCCTCAGCCTCCCAAATACTAGGATTGCATGCGTGTGCATGTACCACCACGCCCAGCAATGTTTTTTTCAGGTTCAGAATCCCATCTATGATCAGACACTGTAATTACTAGCTGTTTCTTCACCTCTTGCAGTTTCTTAGGCTTGTAGGAGCAGTTCCCCAGCCCCTTTTCTTTCATAACTTTGATGCTGTTTTTGGTTTCTTTCTTTTCTTTTCTTTTTTTGACATTGGAGACATAGTCTTACTATGGAGTTCAGGCTTGCCTTGAACTATGTAGCCCAGGCTGCCAACCCTCCTGCCTCAGCCTCCTGAGTGCTGGAACTATGGGCATGTCCCACCACATCCAGCTCTACCTTGACACTTTTAACTCATTTTGGTCAGTATTCATCCATGTTGTTCACTTTGGCTTTGTCGATGTTTTCCTGTGAGTGGCCCGGGTCCTGCATGCTTGGCAGGAACACTCAGTAGTGACACTGCACTTAATTATGCGCTGCACTTAGTTATCCACTTAATTACACCCGCCCATCACAGTGACCAGGTTCTGGCGAGTGTCAGCGCTAGGGACCGCGAACTTGATCATCAAGAAAGGCGATTTCTGCTGGGCGACTTCACTGAGGGGTTGCTGTTTTTCTCCCTGAGCTTAATAAACATCTTGGGAGAATAACTTTGAGAATGTGCAAATTTCTGCTTTTCATCAAACTTGAAAATTTTTTTCTGTTTTTAATTGTGCTAAAATGTACATGGTGCAAACTCTGCCATCTCAACCATGTTTACCTGTGCAGCTGGTGGAGTTAAGTATATTCACAATGATGAACAACTGATCTTTAGAGCTTTTGTGTCTTTCAAAACCGAAATTCTTATTATAGGCAGCTAAGTTAGTCAGAAATATAGGAGGCAGTCAAACAGGGCTGGGCCCTCGCGGGAGTCAGCGCAGAAGATGAAAATCCATCAAGACTGTGGCTGGAGGCGCATCTGAAGATTAAAGTCACAAGGCTAGTTTTACGTACTTCCCTAAGGGATGAACAGAGGCTTGGGATTATTGATACTGTCTTTTTGAGATTTCCCATTGTCTTATTAGGGGTGGCCATCCTCTCCCATCTACTAAGACTAACACTAAAGATGAGATGAAGACTACAGAGTATCAACCAAGGTTAATGATGTCACCCGTGCACCCTTACTACCATCAGATCAACATTACCTAAGTGACTGTACTGCAATCTAATTGGTTGATCATAATTTTGACCCATGTTGTACCCACCTCATGATTTTGCTCTTTATAACACTTCCTTTGAGAGGTGGGCTTTTCGGCAACCCATTTGGGACCTCTCCTATCTCTCAGGAATAGCTATTCCTATTCCCCATTCCTTTTCTCCAATAAATTGTCCTACTCTTAACCTCTGTTATTCCTTAGAATTAATTCTTCAACTTTGAGGGGCACAAGCTCAGCGTATCTGACATCTAGCACTTCCCCTGTATTGCTC